CTTGTTGATCCTGCCATGAACGTTCTTGTTCAGGAATTATCTGTTATAAGGTGAAAACGCTTTATTCCTGATTCCCAATTATGTTCCTGTCTTGCCACCCTATCATGCAAGATGGAGATTACAAGCGGCCATTCTAACACGCATTGCACAGGCATGACCCACTGTTTTTAATATCAAGAAAACCACTCTGAGAAATGCCATGCAACCATCTCTGGAGTGCATGCACATAGACAGAAAGTGGTTACAAAGAGACTGCAGGGGATCAAAAGCACTGAGGTGCTACAATGAATAAAAAAAGGTGAAAAGTATTTTATTTGAAACAATGGAAATTGTTCATATTGAGCATGGCTTTAACATGCTAAATGTCATTAATTTAGGCTTTGCTTACATTTGCTGTTGGAAGGAGTAAAAACATGGCTCAAACTCACAAATTCTAATCCCCAACCGCTCTGTCCTTAGTTGACGCAAACAGTTTTTAATGGATAGGTTTCATATTTTACTTATGTTATACTATTATACCATAGGTGCATAAACAGTCATTTCAGTAATCTGGTCAGTAACATTTTTGTATATTAGTTGCCTTAGCCAAGAGAGGTGATTTTGCACCCATCTAAAAGCTTTTAATCATTCAGAAGCACAAGTCTGTTGCCATTTGTTACCCAAAAATGTAGAGATTTTCAGATGAAATGCTCATTACTTATTACCCACCAGTTATCCGTAAAACAAGTTTTATATTTTTATCTGAGGATAAGTGTCAGTTTCAGTGCTTCTTCTTAAACATATTACAGAACACAACCAGGCTTATTCAATAAGGCAAAGTGCAAAATGCAATAAACCCATCTGTACCAATTTATTTAATCATCCCAAATGTAATACAATTTATTAGAAGTTGATTCATAATGATGAGTGTCATTAAGTAAACAAAATAATGACAGAACATCTGAAATCAAAATCCATTGGTAATACTAGTACAAGTCTAGCTCTGTGGATGATTAGTTGAAATTGCAAATCCATCGAACTCCAGATCGTTTTCTTTACAGGACTGAATTTGTGGAGAACAAGCCAGACATTGAATGCAGACAGTCGTCTCAGTGAAGCTACAGCAGAGGAGACAGACTATTCAATTGTCACTGAGATCAGGCTGACCTTACTTAACTTCTCAAGAAGAGGGCACAGTAAATAGGTAAATAGAGATGCAAAATAAAAAAAAACAAAAAACAATTACATATTAGTCTATTGTTCTAGTCAAATCAGAGAAAGATTCATTCTGATTGGCTTTTGTGGCATATGTAACTTTGCACATTGATCTGTGCGTTACTGAATACACGCACACATTGTTCTTATCTTTGAAATGACTGAATCCCCAGCCTACTCTGTATACTAAAGAGCTTTACTTTATCCAATAAACAGTCTTCATAGTACCTCCACTGTACATATGTTTTAAAGGTTATAAGTAAGATTGCTGACTACCTAATCAACTATGATAAGAAAACTGCCATGATATATGTACAAGGCGTCTTCAAAAAGTTTCCGCACTTTGATACATGTATATATGTTTGAAAAAGTGCACAAACTTTTTGAAGAAACCTTGTATATTCCAAGATCATAGCAGTGGGAAAAAAATGCCTGTTGGTCAGCAGAGGTGCCCCGGGAGTGTGAAGAGATGAGTGGCCACAGAATTTGCGAGTGAACAAAATAATAGCATATTTATGGAGCACATTTCAATGCTGCCTGCCGCTTCATCAGGCAAGTAGTATAGTAACAAGTTTGTCAGAGCTGGGGGCATGCGGGATGTTCAGCATATCATAAATATGTTCACCGACATCACTGATTGGCTTTTTACCCATTCTATGCTGCTGCTGACCAGTTCCAAGTCCCTTCTTGACAAGTTTGGGGTGAACCCAGAGTATTCCAATGCGACTATCATCCTCCGAAGAACTATGTGGAGACAGATGTATTCTCAACAAGCCAACTTGTAATGTTGCACATGCCACGTTCAGCACTAAGGTCGAGGGACCGAATCCCAACCGTGACACCACCTACCTGGAGTTACACGTTCTCCCTGTGTCTGCTTGGGATTCCTCCAGGTACTCTGGTTTCCTCCCACACTGCAAAGACATGCTGGTAGGTTAATTGGATCCTGTCTACATTGGCCCTAGTATGTGTATGTATGAATGTAAGTTAGAGACCATAGACTGTAAAACCCCTTGAGGGCAGGGACTAATGTGAATGTATAAGAAATATGTAAATGGATTTTGATGGTGCTATATATGTACCTGTAATAAATTAATAAATACATTTTCTAAAAATATCACCAGATTTATTTTCTTTTTTACTTGCCTAGCACCCAGTTTTTATATTTCCTTTGTAGTAATGGTACTACATGATAAGGGCTCTGTTGTTCTCTCATTTTTCTACTGACAGTTGCTCACATACCTTGGCTATTACCAGATTTCAGATATATTGCAATATGGTAGATTTGCACCAGCTACCCATTCTTCTTGCTGGTGTTGCAGAATTAGATTTGTAAGGAGTGGTGAAATGAAAAGATATCTCAAAAGGACTGATGTAAAGTACTGTTCCAAGCATGAAGTTGTGAAGTAGAGCTAAATGCATGATGAGTGAATAGTGATGACAATGCCTCATTATGTGGCTCCATACACTGCTTGTAAGATGTTTTTTTTTTCTTCTTCTGGGCTGCCTTAATGCTTACTTCCCTGTAGCTGAAACCAATATTTGTCAAAGTATCAGTTTCTCCCTGGGCAATTTGCGGAGTACTGCAGAGTAAACCTGACACCTGAAATGATTGCATTTTTTTTTCTTTAGGTCTACTTAGCGTCTCAAGAACCACTTTAGTCAGAGGCTATTATAATTGCCTTGCATTCCTAATTAGAATATAAATATTGTGACAACAATTATTTACATGTAAAAAAGGAATATTAAAAAATCAATATGGATGACTAAATAGCTGTTGGTATTTGTTACAATGCAGAGAAGAGGCAAATAACATTACAATACAGTAAAGCAACAGATGTTTGGTCTGTGATGAAAAGAGGTCCTAAACAGTTCATTCAGTTTGCATGCATTGGAATAGTTAACCTCAAAATTTTAAGAAATGTAAATAGCACTCTACTCCTGTAGGAGCCAGTGGAAATTTGCCCAGGTTCTTCCCCAGTGGATTGCCTTGCAGCCAGGCACACGAACACAGTCACTCTGTTCCTCAATAACGAGTCTTGGGGGGTTGTTTTTGTTGTTTTTATTTTTGGAGAACATGGACAGGGTTGAAGGAATTGAGTGGTATACTCCAAAAACAGAAACTATGTACAAATTGAGGACAGTGAACTCCTTTCTGTAAGGCTGAAGCAGAATTCCTTGCCTATAGCAAGCTGTGGACTTGGTTTGTAGTAGAAACAGATAAAAGCCACACAGGCTTCTTTCTCTAGATCAAGAAGAGCAGAGTCCCTTCACAGTGACTAGGTAGACTAAGCTCTTCAGGACACCAGCCCGATGTCCCCTTTAGCAAACACACAGCTGACTCTCTAGCACAAGAGGGGTGGGGTGGCAGCAGCCCAAAAGATCTCTCTGCAGTCTGTACTCACAAAATGTCCAGGGACAGCTGGTTCCTTCCTTCCAACTTCCAAGCGACACTTTCCTCCAGTGATACCAGACTAGATCTTCAGCAGACAACCCCTCGGTCATGTCTCAGTTGTTCCAGCATTCAGGCCCTCTGGTCGCCCACCCGAGGCCTCTCGAACAGTAAACACATGGCAGTGTAGCCTTGCAGGGAAGCTGTCTTCCATGCTGGACTGATCCTACACAGAAAAAAGCTCAGAGCTCAGTATTTAGAGAATATATACAGTCTCCCAGCAGCCATCAAGGCCCTACTCCCTGGGATTATCCAGGGCTGTATATATATTCATGCTGCCATCCACATAGCTCCACACCTATAATCCACAATGTTCTACTGATTTCTGGAAAGCAGAGGGAGCTACCAGACTGACAGCAGCTAAGAAAACTGAACAGGCCTAACTGATCGCAATTGCAGCCATGCTGAGTACAGTTAGGCAAGCTAAATTTACCTAACATAAATACACACAGCTCCACCGAACTCAGTGAGAAATCACTAAATCGAACTAATCCTAGCACCTATCTAGGTGGGCGCTACAGCTGTATACAAGAGTTTAATGAAGGAAAGGTTTAGAGACCAGGAAGAACTGCTGACTGGCTTGCTGTTCCTGTAGGTCAGTCCCACCCCTTTGGCCACATGGCCACAGGATCAATACTGCAGCACCAGAAGAATGCCAAAGTTAGCCATTTACAGATAAAGATAAGGCTTTGTAAACAGCTATACATGTGTATTAGCATTTCAGAGGTTTACTATTTTGACTACTTACTAATTATTTACAGTTCAGTTGTAGTTTCAGAACAGTTCTAGTTTAACCACTTGCCTACTGGGCACTTTTACCCCCTTCCTGCCCAGACCAATTTTCAGCTTTCAACGCTATTGCACTTTTAATGACAATTGCGCGGTCATGCAACACTGTACCCAAACAAAATTTTTATAATTTTTTTGAGACATATAGAGCTTGCTTTGGGTGGTATTTAATCACCACTGGGGTTTTTATTTTTTGCTAAACAAACTAAAAAAGACTGAACATTTTGAAAAAAAAAAGTTTTTTCTTAGTTTCTGTTATAAAAGTTTGTAAATGAGTAATTTTTCTCCTTCACTGATGTGCGCTAATAAGTCTGCAGTGATGGGCACTGATAGGCAGCACTGATGGGCTCTGATAGGTGGCACTGCTGAGGAGGCACTGATAGGTGGCACTGATGGGCATTGACAGGCATCACTTGTGGGCATTGACAGGCATCACTAATGGGCACTGAAAGGCAGCACTCATATATGGCACTGATGGGCACTGATAGGCGGCTTTGATAGGCAGCACTCATTGGAACTGTTAGGAGGCACTGATTGGAACTGTTAGGCAGCACTGACGGGCACTGATAGGCATCACTGATGGGCACTGATAGGCTGCACTGACTGGCACTGCTAGGTGGCACTGAAAAGCATCTCTGATGGGCACTGATATGTGGCATTGATGTGCACTGGTAGGCACTGACATGTGGCATTGATGGGCACTTACAGGTGGCATTGATGGGCAGTGACAGGTGGCACTGATGGGGCTACACTGATCATCAGGGCACTGATCATCAGTGCCCTGATGATCAGTGTAGATGTCCCCTCTGAGGAATGCCGATTACCGGTTCTCCTCTCCTCACGAGCTGTCAGTGTTTGGAGAGGACTGTCGATAACTGGCATTTCCTATTTACATGTGATCAGCTGTGATTGACTTCAATGGAAATTCTGCGTAAAAGCATGTATTGCATTTTTGCCAAGTTTTTGATGTGTTTTGCATTTTAAATCTGCTTAACAACAAGAAAAAAGAATGAAAAAAAAACAGAAAACGCATCAAAAACACGTAAAAAATGCAAGTGCAAAAATGCAATGCAGAAACGCCTCAAATGCAACCTGCATAGGTGGGAACCTAGCCTTAGACGGAGAGCACTATTATCATCTAATGATATGTTTCGTGGCAATGGCACATTATCAAAGGGAATGATAATTTGATAATGTGCCATTGCCACGAAACGCGTTAGAATTAAGGACACCTCTCATACCACTTGTTATCTACTTGGTTCATGCATCTGACTGTCGGCCATCTTTTTGGATTCTGTGAATCAGCTTTTTTGGACATTACCATGTAAGTGTGCTACTTGCTTTTATCTTTTGAATAAAAATACTACACTATCAAGATTTCTTTCTTTTGGGTCTTATTGCAGAGTCCCTGAGATGATCTCCTGATATGAAAGCACACCAAACCTGGTGATAGAGGATATAAGGCTATTTCGTGTTACTGTAAAGAGGCGCACTCCCCCTGGTGGTAGGAGACGGCAAGAGTGGTGCACTGGTGTTCCTGAGGGCTCTACGCTGAGGACCATTTGGCTGTGACCAGGAGTAGGTCATTATACTCCAATGCGCGTTTACTTGCGCTATCTGGTTAGTGCATTTTACAGCTATTCTCCTATCACGGAAGTCACGGATTTGCTTGTCACTTGGATGCACCCCCAAATCTAATGACTCTAACATCCCTATCACTATAGGCACTTCGATTGGTTGGATGAATCTTTATTGCCTACCTGACCATTGTTTACATTAATTTATGAACGTTAAACCTGGTGCATGTCATAAAATGAATGTTTTTCCTTTTAATTCTGCTATATATATGTTAATTCCCTTTATTTATTATACACTCAAGCGCTGCAATTTTTGCAGTATTTTATTGTCTATGAAGAGGGTATACGAGGTTTACCTTTATGCTAGGAGCTTGAATCTGGCAGATCCAGCGCTCGTTTTTTTCCCCATTTATTACTTTGATAAGTGTAGAAATGTATTCAACAATTTAGAGCAAGTCTAGTTTAATGTGACTAACTACTACTAGCTGTTGAGCTTCTGGGGTTGATTTATTAAAGGCAAATAAGCTGTTCACATTGCAAGGTAAGTTGCACTTTACAAGAGATATTTCCGCAGAGATTAGTGAATGCTCTGGAATTTCACTTTGCAAAGAATCACGTGCAAAGAAAATTAAAATAAAAAGAAAGCATCTTTGCTTGAATATGATTGGATGATGGAAGTCAACAGAGCTTCACCTCATTCACTAAGCTCTGGGGATAATTCCCTTGCAAAGTGCAACTTATCTTGCAAAGTGAACAGTCTATTTGTATTTATAAATTAAAACCTGTGTGTTAACCACAGATTTCCATGTAGACAGTATGAAAAGTGCAAGGCTTTGAAGCAAACCATAACAATTAATAAAAAAATGTGCTCTTAGCAGACTGGTTTAAAGAACATGGCATATCAAGTCCAATGGAATATGATAAACTATTATTCCAGGACCAGGGTAAATGAGAACCTTAACAAACACAATAATTCTTGCAGATACCCTTCATCGCAGGTTTTTTAAGATTTGGTTCTAATCTTGAAAAATATCTGCATGCAAGATATCTTACGCAAATGTTCATGTTTCTGGTAATTCCCATCCATTGTCCAATACCACACTGGTAGGTTAGTTGCTTTCTCCTACACTGGAAATGACATGCCTGATACAAAAGAAAATAATTTTTTTTGTCCTGAGGGTCTTTTGACCATCTGTTTGTTCATAAAAATCTTACCAAGCGAAAAGGAAAACTGGTGTAAAGATAAGGAGAAGGTGGCAGAGTAGTACACAGGAAGGAAGATGTGGGAACTCATCTTTTGGCTTGACTGGCAAGCTGAAGGATACCGCGCCCTTGGCAAGAACAAACGCAGATCAGATAACACAGCTCATTCTGTCTAATATCAGTTTCCTTCCTGCAGCACAGGCTCTGAAATGGTTGGCAAAATGTTGATGTCAGTATTTCAGAAAAAAGAGGTCACTCAACTAATACTTTTTCCATTATCAAAGCGCAATGACAATCACATTTTTTTTAAAATTTGATCTCACAAAAACACGACATTTAATAATCACATTGTCACAGAATAAATTCAAATTTTTAAGAACAAAGCTCTTCCATGTTCAGTTCTCACTGTATTTAGATGACTTTCTTTAATCCAATATGTAATAAAAATTTTTGGTAAGATGAAATGCTGTGCCATTTGTTACAGTATATGATTTAATAGTATTCACGTATTAGGCATATAAGTATAGTAAAATGATATAAGAATGTAATGCAGAATTAGGGTTATTTACTAAAACAGGAGAGTGCAAATTCTGGTGCAAATCTGCCTAAAAAGCAATCAGCTTCTGGGTTTTATTGCTAAAGCTTAATTGAACAAGCTGATGTTAGAAGCTGATTAATTACTATGCATGGCTGCACTAGATTCTGTATGTTCCAATTTTAGTAGATCTACTCCAGTGTATCTTGGAATCCTGCAACATTTTGACTTTTGATTTGAAATATCTCTGCCTACTTGCTATTGACCTTGACCAGTGATCTACCATTCACTCCCATTTTTATGCCCTTTCCCGTGTATTTATTTTAGGTATCCCTATCTCTAGTAATAGAAGTTCACTTTGTCCTAGTTTATTTATAATTTTTTTTTCAATTGTGCTCAGAATTATAATATGTGCTTCTGTTCTTCCTTGGTGTTGCATTGTAAAATAAAACATTGTCCTTGTATTTTTGTTAAGTGTAACATTCATAATTTAGCTCCTGGTCATTTCCCATAAAGGTGCTCCGTTGTAATTTTCCAAGTGCACAATATGTTGTCCTGTGTTAGAAGGTCTAGTGATATTTCAGGTTTGCTCTTTCTATTTACCAATTACAGATTTTTCATCTACGCTGTCCAATATTGGTCAAAAGCATCTCATCCTATTTATTTTCTGACCTCCTATAACCAATCAGGAGGCAGGCAACTGCAAATGATCAGTTTTCCTGTTCTGCACTAGACAAGACTGCCAGAGTGTGTTGACAGACAATACGAACAAGTCCGTTCTCCACATATCATAGCACAGGCTGAGAATACCCTGAACAATCATTGGTCTCAATAAAGCTATCAGATTTTGCCTTGCACAGCCTTGATTTTCTATCTAATAGCCTCCATAATAAATTGTAAAATAGAACCAAAATACATTTCTGCAAAAACTTTATGACTTCGTACCCAGGCCTGCTTTAAAAAAAAAAAAAATTGGAGGCAATGCAAATCTTTTTCTGAAAAAGCTTCACACTTGCTACACACTACAGTGGGTTGAAAATGTAAAATATTTATATGTAATGTTTCATATATACAGTTATTCCTTATAATTAAATGTGAACTGGACGACACAAATTTCAGAAAAAAAGCATTCTGATGGATATCTCTTACCACCCTTCCCAAGTATATACCAAGTAACAGGTAAGAGGAGAACATGCCGCTGGAAAGTCTATTTTCTTTTTTGCTCCTATTAGAATAACTTATCTGATTTATGCGTAAACAATATTTGCAGCCTTACCATGTTCATAACTGATATGGAAACTGGCAGAATAATCTTGGATTGACACTAAATCAACCAAGTAGTGCCCTGGCTTCAAACCTGCTCCTTAATTTCAGCAGGTTTTGAAACCACTGAAATGGCAGCTGTCTCCAGAATAGACAGTGGGTCTCACTGGGTAACTTAGCCTCCAGAAGACCTCTAATTAGCTATTTCTGGGCTTGTGCTTACCACCTATTGATCTTTGGTGTCTTCCTGTTACATTTAATTGTGGCTAAATTACCTCAATGTAATCACTATACAAAGGGAACCTCTACTGCCTTTAATTGTAAGGTAAAACAGTATAAATGCTGACGTATGTGGGCAAAAATCACTACTGACCATATAAAAAAACAAGTATTTACAAGATCACCATTACACATAAAAATATAGAATGTCAAGAGCTTTTCATATTTAAAATTATAATGCTACTTTTGGGTTTTCAATTTCCAGAATTGAAGTATGTAATCTGCAATATGCACATGAGTCAATGATAGCAGACCTCGAAATAGTAAGCTTTTACTAAAAGTAATGCTGCATGCATGTCATATCCATTATTTTTCACTGACAGAAGTACGATAGCAGTTAGTTATGAAGTTCAATCACTGCTTCCAGTGTGTAAGACTTTAGGGTTGGCATGGTGGAAGAGGTGGTTGTGTAATGATCTAACAGCTGACAGTAAGTGTGGTTGGAATAAATTCATATCATGTGACAATTTGTATACAAATGTATATATGTGTTTGAAAATCAGCAAATAATACTTTTGCTTAATCTGCTGCCAATGTATCCATCTTAAACAAGCAAGCAAGCAGCAAGCCTTTATGGCATCAATTACACTGCTCAAAAAATTAAAGGAACACTTTTTAACCAGAGTATAGCATCAAGTCAATTAAACTCCTGGGCAGGGGCGGACTGACCATTTGGGAACTTGGGCACTGCCCAAGGGCCCGGGTCAGTAGGGGGCCCCATAAGATGCCCCTGGTACCTTTCATAGGCTTTTTTGGGTGTGGTTTGAGTGTAGGCGAGGACACAGGGGCCCCATGATCTCCTATTGCCCGGGGGCCCCATGAGTTGTCAGTACGCCCCTGCTCCTGGGATATTGATCTGGTCAGTTAAGTAGCAGAGGGGGTTGTTAAACAGTTTTAGCTGCTTTGGTGTTAATTAAATGAACAACAGGTGCACTAGATGGGCAATAATGAGATGACCCCCAAAACAGGAATGGTTTTACAGGTGGAGACCACTGACATTTTTTTCCCTACTTCTTTTCTGACTGTTTTTCACTAGTTTTGCATTTGGCTAGGGTGTCAGGGTG